AATGAATTTTGCTTCACAAGAGAATGGTAATGAAGAAAGGTATGGAAAATAAGAGTTGGAGGAAGATTTTAAGTCTTGTGAGATTGTGAATAGTCAAGAGATGGGAGTATTACTATTAAAGTTAATGAAATAAGAAGATGAATGACAATTTGAGGTATTTGAGTGAGTGAGTAGTGAATTTTGCTGAGAAATATGTGTTGTAATAATTGATTTATGATGAGTTGAGCAGGAATGAGTAGTATTTTTTTTTTCTTTTTTTCTTTTTTTATGTGGCTATTGCAGCCTTAATTTCTATTATGAGCTAATTTTTGAGTTACTATATTGGATTCAAATCCAATTATCCATGACATCTCATCATCTATAATCCTTAATCCCAGTCCAAATCCCTTCAATATCAATGCAACCACAAAAACAATATATTGGTCTATTGAGGAGAGAGAGTAGGGACAATGTTTTAACAGAAAAAATTTTTGGTCACCTTTTGGTACAGAAGAAGAAAGACCTCGAGGGAGCAGAAGAATATTATTCGAGGGCAATTTTGGCAGACCCAAAAGATGGCGAGATCCTTTCGCAATACGCTAAATTGATATGGGAGCTTCACCGTGACAGAGAACGAGCCACCAACTATTTCGAACGAGCAGTTCAAGCATCTTCAGAAGACAGGTACATTACATACATATATTTCACAGCCACAAGCATTCATATGAGATGATTAATAGTAACATAACGGCGTATTTGATTTTTCGATTTTTGTCTGTATATGTTTTTTTTTCAGCCACGTACACGCGTCCTTTGCTAGTTTTCTGTGGGATACGGAGGATGATGATGAAGAGGATGAAGAAGATAACTTCCCGGGAAAGCAACTTGTTCGCCATGGATTCATGGCACCTGCTGCAACTGCTTAAATGCAAATGCTTTTGTTCTTTTTCTTTTTTTGTTGACAAAAAAATAAATATGTACTATTTTGAAGAAAGAGAGATGGAAGATTATTAGAAATTCAGGGTCAGATTTAGTCTGGGGAAGTATGAAATACAGTCGTTTTGTCATGTGAAATGACACAATTACCCTTACTGTCAGAAACAATTCCTAGGAATTTGGAATTCTAGTAAGGATAATTATGTCATTGTACAGCGCAAAATGACTATATTTCATTGAAATCTAGGAAAGTGAAAAATGGCTAAAGAAAAGTGGGATTGTAGTCTGGATTGTTTAGTTCAGAAGCTCTGACCACACATGGTGGGATTTTGGTTTTTTAAAGATTGGCTTGATAATTGTTGATAGTTGGATTATTTGGTATTGGAAATAAATGTATTCAAGTAATTGATGTATGAAGTATTTGTGAAAATGTATATTATGTTAGAATAGAGAAGGATTTACAAGGTCAGGAAAAAAGAGCAACTATAAGAAGGCTGTCCATATGTTTTCCTCAACCAAATAGTGTCATGTATTAGTTATTAAGAAATTGAGAGAAATGTGAATGTATATCAACAATTAATCATGCACAAATGCCAGCCTTAGAAAATTTAATACTTTATTGTTAAAATACATATTTATGGGTGAAATACTTGTATGATTAATTTTTGAAATACCATGTCAGCACGAAATTATGAAATACTTTTGAACATAAGTGCATTGCGAATTTGTGATATATCATATTTTGATTATGAGGTTGTTTAAATGTTGCTTAAAAGAAAACAATGTCACATCTTTGAAAATTTTGGGAAAACAACACAGTTATAATTAACGAATACCGTGAAGCAAATTTTGTGGCCGACTGCCTGGCCAAAGCTGCCGCACGAAGCCCAACAGGTTTCCAGCTGTTAGATGAGCCGCCGGGGGAAGCTCGACAAATGGCTACATCATGATGTTCTCGGGGTCGCACACCCACGAAGTGTTCTAATATCTAGCATCTAGGCATTTGCCTCTCTTCTTTGTACCAAAAAAAAAAATTGTGAACGAAATGTGTAGCTCGAATACTCGATTAATTAAGATTGAATTTGATCTGTAAATTTTGATAAATAAATTGAACTCCAACAAAACTCGTTTATCTAAGGTTTTTGCTTTCTAAAGAATGACTTGGTGGGTTTGAGGAATTGAAACTCTTACATAATCTCTTGAACCTCTAGTTATAAGTTTTGTAAATAACTAAACGTAGATAAATGTGGATCGTTCATATCAAAACTAGAGTTAGAATAGATCGGTTTTACTCATGAAAGTTCGCTTATTAAACCAGTCCAGCTTGAGTTCAATCACGAACACCTCATTTTTTGAACAAACAAACTGAGCCGACACATATTCACAAAGAAACGAACTATATTTACTGACATAGTGGAACCAACCTTTTATATATAACAAATAAACCATATTATATTATTTGATTACTTAAATAATGTTAGAATATGGTATAATTTACTTGTTGTATATAGAAGGTTAACTCATTGAGTACGAGCTGCCATAGGAAGCCATTTCATCCTCTCTGGCCTGCTCCGCATCTGACCTCTTAAAGGACTACGTGGTAAGTAAGTTTCAAAGTATCGAGATCGAGGACTTATGGAGCAACTGTTGGCTTCCTAGCAAAACTGTTCATTATTCATACTTCCATTATTTATAACCTTTGTCTGAATTTTTATTTATTTAATTTTTTTCAAATTGGTCTCAACAAATTTCGCTACTGCTCTCCCGAAACCCTCGTCAACTCATCCGGCGACAACACACGGCGGCGACAAGCATGAAAGTGGTGGCGTTGGTCAGCGGCGGCAAGGACAGTACCTATGCAATGATGAAATGCGAGCACTATGGCCACCAGGTTTCTCTTTGCCCTGCGTCTTTGTTCGTGCACAATAGGCTTCCATTGGCATTCTAAGTCACTTTTCTTTCATTATTTTTCTTCAATTTCTGACATTCAGATAGTGGCGCTGGCTAATTTGATGCCGGTTGATGAAGCTCAAGATGAGCTTGATAGTTACATGTATCAGACAGTAAGCTCTTTGACTTCACTCAATTCCCTTGCCCGGCTCTATTAGCTTGATTGATAAAAGATGGATCGGAGTTTGTGTTTGGATTGGGATTTTCTTACATCCATGTTCAAAGTATGTAACTCGTGAATCTTGTATAGATGAGTTCCCTTGTGTTTTTGCTGCCCGCCCGAACAATAATTTCGTTATGACATTCTATGGACTTATACTGAACAATCGACTTTGATTTTATTGATGTGGTTAGAGTTTTTTAGATGCCAAGTAGTTCTTTTACTCCTATAGTAGACTTATGGGTAATTGTATTTGTGGAAATCCTCATAGCTGCAACACTTTCGCTTATACATTAGCTGTAGTTGTCTATGCTGAAGCACATGTAAATTCCTGTGGCACGTTTTTGGTTTTCGAGGAAGCTTTTGTCTTATTCGCATACTTAATTGTAGTTTTTTTAATCTTAACTCTTCAAGGAGTGTTGGGTATCTTTTGCAGGTGGGGCACCAGATAATTGTTAGCTATGCAGAGTGCATGGGGATTCCTTTATTCCGTAGACGTATTCAAGGATCCACCAGGCAAGCCAATTAATTTAGAAGCAATCATATATTAGTGCTCATGCCAAATGATTATTGGTTACTGCATATTTTTATTAGTTTGTAGTGATACATCTTCTTTTGGCTTTATCACGTCGAAGTAACAAGACTTGCACTGTGTGTTCTTTTTTATTTTATAGGCATCATGGCCTTAGCTACAATATGACCCCTGGGGATGAGGTTGAAGACATGTTTATCCTTCTAAAAGAAGTAAAGCGGCAGATACCATCTGTAAATGCAGTCTCATCAGGTGCAATTGCGTCTGACTATCAAAGGCTGCGTGTCGAAAGTGTATGTTCAAGGTTAGGGCTTGTCTCGTTGGCATATTTGTGGAAGCAAGATCAGTCATTGCTCCTTCGCCAAATGGTGAATTTTAATTTTATAAAAACTCAAGACAATTTATGCTTATTCTATATATATCTTTTATTTAATGTGCCCTTTTGTTCGTTTCCAGATACAAAGTGAGATTATTGCAATCACGGTCAAGGTATAAGATGCATTTAGCTTTTTATTTCTTTATTTTATAAAGAAAAAAAAGAATAGCATCCTTCGTTCTCTTATTTGTACTAAGTTTCTAACTACTGCTTATCACACCCATTTATTATTTGTTTCATAGGTTGCAGCCATTGGGTTGGACCCTTCAAAGCACTTGGGAAAGGAAATAGCACAGTTGGAGTGCCACCTTCACAAGCTGAAAGGGTATGTTATTCGACAAATCTCAAGTACTCCATATGTAAAACCCATAGCAATTAATGTATTGCAATTTCAGCTTATATGGGATAAATGTATGTGGTGAAGGAGGAGAATATGAAACACTAACTCTTGACTGCCCCCTCTTCAAAGTGAGTTGGCCTATCCCCTCTCAGTTTGACCTAGTTTTTGATTTGTCACTGTGTAACGAACAGTGGGACAAGTAGACATATTTGACCCATGATTCTATTCTCTCAAAAGTAACTTTTAGTTATTTTTAGTTCATGATTAAAGCTTTATGTTCCGTCTTTCCTTTGAATACTAACATTTAGATTTTTTTCCCAGAATGCTCGAGTTGTGCTTGATAAATCTCAAGTTATCTTACATTCATCAGATCAAATAGCTCCTGTAGGTGTACTTCATCCCCTGGAATATCATTTGGAGAAGAAGTCGGTTTCATTATCTAACGACAAAAGTAATGAATTATCCGTTGGAGAATTTGGTTCAGTATGTGAAGTGTTGGGGGATTGCTTGGGTATTGTTGAAGCCCCATGCAAGAAAAATGATGTAAATTGTCACTTAGCATTAGATACAAAACGAGAACTTCACATCTCAAAATCTAGGATGAATGGGACTTTTTCGATTGCTTGCTGGCTGCCAGATGGCTCTCAGACCTCAGCAGGTACGCATTTGGCGTGAGTAGAAACTTCTGTTTTTATTTATTTTAGGTCTTACACACACACACACACACACATATATATATGTATATATGTCTTTGTGTGTGTGTGTTTCTTACTGCTTTATCATTTATTTTACGGTTTGACAGATGTGAGGGAAGACCTCGAGGTGGTTTTAACAAAAATTGAGGTGCTGCTTAATGAACATGATTGCTCCTGGGAGAATGTTCTCTATATACATCTATATATTGCTGATATGAATGAGTTTGCACCAGCAAATGATCAATATTTGAAATTTATTACACACGAGAAGTGTCGGTTTGGTGTGCCATCACGTTCTACAATAGAACTTCCTCTGCTGCAAGCTGGTTTGGGGAGAGTGTATATTGAAATCTTGTTTTCGAAGGATAATACTAAAAATGTTTTGCATGTTCAAAGTATTTCCGAGTGGGCTCCTAGTTGTATTGGCCCATACAGTCAGGTCAGACATTCCTTAAGTGTGGATTCTGGTTTTTCTCTCTCTCGTATCACATGAAGATTTGTGCCATGTTTACATATCTCTCTCTTGTAATGGGCCCCCGTGTGTTTTTTAATAAATTATGTTGGCAAATTTGCAATATGGAGATGCCTCTGCTATTGGTTCCTTATTGATATTCATGAAACATCACACCTTCTTCTGTTCATTTTTGTCAGGATAGAATGGCTTATCTATATTGCATACTTGCAAATTTTTTGTTTCTGATCAAAGTACCTAAAATGCAACGAAACATTACTTTCTTTCTTCACCTGTTACAGTATCTATGACTAATGTGCATGAATTATTGTTAGTAGAATGTGCCCATTTATGCTTAGGAATTGTTTTCCTGTAACCTTTATCATATTACTCACTTGTTCATGCATATCCTCCAGGCAACCTTGCATACGAACGTTTTGCATATGGCTGGCCAATTGGGACTTGACCCGCCAACAATGTTGCTCCGTGAAGGGGGTCCCGCATTAGAGTTTCAACAAGCATTAGCGAATGCAGAGGCTGTTGCAAAATGTTTCAACTGCTCGATATCGACATCTGCTGTTGCTCTCATCATTTACTGTTCGAAATCTTTGAGTCCTACTGATAGAGCATGCATCGAGAATCAGAAGAACGTTAGTCTTGCAGAAATGAAGTTGCAGTCATTAAGTGGAAGCCATTCCAGAGTGCCTGCGTTGGCCGATCCTGTTGTTTTATACATTCTTGTTCCGGATCTACCCAAAAGGTGACTATAGTTTATTCTACAAAATCTGGACTTTTTTATTTTTATTTTGGGTTAATTGCAGATAAAACTCCACTTTATAAGTTTGGCAAAAAAAATACTAACCTTTCATAAGTGTTGCAATTGTGTCTCAACCGCCACTCGCCGCCGCCGGCGGGTCCAACTGCCACCCGCCGCCGGCCAACTTTGCCGGATATTGAAAATTTTTACATGATCTTGTAGCTCTCCTTCGTGCCAACAACATATTCGAGTTTCACGAAAAAATTCCGACGATAAGGCTTCCAATTTTCCGGTCAAAGCTCGTAGATCTACAAATTTTATCCGGCTCTTTCGCAAATTCCCGGTGACTCGCTTTGACCCACGTGAATCCGAAGGTACCGTTGAACTTCTCTCGCAAAGCCGCATCTATTGACGTCCACCTTCGCCGAAACCGGTGACTTTTTCTGATGACGACTTTTCCGGTCATCTCCTTATCGTCGGAATTTTTTCGTGAAACTTGGATATGTTGTCGGCACGGAGGAGAGCTACAAGATCATGTAAAAATTTTCAACATCCGGCGAAGTTGGCCGGCGGCGGGTGGCAGTTGGACCCGCCGGCGGCGGCGAGTGGCGGTTGAGACACAATTGCAACACTTATGAAAGGTTAGTATTTTTTTTTGCCAAATTTATAAAGTGGAGTTTTATTTGCAATTTAACAAAAGGTTAGTAGGGTTTTATCTTATTTTTTTGTAACTAAGCTAAATCCCAGGGTTGTATTATAGTTATTCCTATATTTTATTTTTATCACTAGGTTTTATGAGATCATCAGATTTATTGTCGAAGGGCATCTTATGCATGTGCATTGATATTAACTATGGTGCAAATTAAACTCAATGTTTTTCCACGTGAAAAAAAAAAAAAAAAAAGGNAAAAAAAAAAAAAAAAATGGGATCTGTAACTTATCAATTCTATGAAATACTATGCAGAGCTGTAGTGGAAGTAAAACCCCTGCTTTACAATAGGGAGAATCTGGAGACTCCAACAGGTTCCACCAAAAAAGTTGTTTGCACGAGACAAGCATACTGGGGATTTCAGCCTGAAAGCTGGCATAACGATTGTCTGCAGAAATGTACCGTTAGCGGAAGAATATGTGTAGCTGTCGTGTCCATCACAAAGGAAATAGCAACAAAGATCTGTTCCGACAATATTAGCAACGAGCCAACTAATCAAGTGAATACTGATAAGCAATTGTCAAAGATGGCAGAATTTTGCATCTATCTTCTTGATAGTGTTCTTCTAGAAGATGATATTTCTTGGGATGATGTGCTGGTAAGTTTTTTTCCTTTTCCATTAGTCTTAATTCTTTCCCAACATGCTTTTCTTTCTTTCACATTTTTTTCATTACAGATGCATGTTTATCTGTGTATACAAATGTATATATGAGAAGAAATTATCCCTGCTCTATTATTTTTGCAAATTACTGGGTCATATAGCACGTATTTGCAATTTTTTTAGTATTGATGAAATTATCCTTAATTAATTAAGATTGTGTCTCTCACTGATGTTTGCTTGTAGAATTTGCGGATCTATTTCACGGCAAGTCCTCACGCCAGCCATGGACTACTTTCGAAAATCTTCACCAATGCATTCAATGAATTTGGCGAGATGAGCAAAAGAATCGACAGTAATGATAAAGGGCCGATATTCAACCTTGTTCCCGTCTTGGGTGCTGGGATGTCTCTAACATCCATGGACGAAAGTATATTTACATGTGAGCTATTTGCCAATACATTTAATTGTCTATAGCTCTTTTCTTATTTCTTAATTATTATTGATTTACTTATATGATCATTTGAGGCAATTTACCTGGAGAGTGATTTTTGTATTCACTCACATTCAACGTGTAAGTGCAAATTCATAGGGATTAGAAGAATTCTATGTAAATGGTGTCACTACCATAAGTGGTTCGTGCCGTGCGCCAATTGTAAGTGTGTTTTTAAGCCATATGTGATATGTGATTCCTTTCNTATTCACGTTTTAAATGAATTTTGAGTGGCTAATGCTATGTTTATACAACGAAATGTAAATCAGTAAAATGAAGAAAATAATACCTTGTTCACCATGTATATAAAACTTGTTGATGGGAATGCTACATTAACTTTTTTTATATATTTATATACAATCTTATTATTTTTTTACATCAATTTTTAATATAGTTTCTATATATGAGAGAACTGTTTTACCAAATACAATGCTTTTTAAATATGATAAATTTCTAAAAGATGATTATGGTTTTTTTCTTGTTACTTTCCACAATCTCTTATTCTAGTTCTTCTTCTTTCTTTCTTTCTTTTTCCTTCTCCCCTTTTTTATTTTCTTCTCTCTTTGCCGACAACATAGAAACACGAAACTCCCCGTGTGTTTAAAGTTCAGAGAGCCTCCAATGGTAGGCCCTCAAGTGCGAGAAGGAGGAGAAATCAGTGAAGCTCAAGGTCAAGAGGCGATTGAAAAGGGCAAAAATCGATCAGCAAGTCGATGGGCAACATCGTCAAGCTCCTTGAGTCGTCCCTCGTCAAGACCATCACGCTAGATTCTGAATCTCACAAAGGGCTCGAACCCGAATTCGAGCAACTATTATTGGTCAAGGGTGCCGCCATCAAGCGCGAGAAGGTGACGGATAACATGAACTGTATGGGCCCCACCTGCTTGTCCGATCAAGCCATCGGCTTCACAAACTGGAAGAGCGGTTGTGGACGTCGCCCTTACCTACGACGTTGTTGCGTGTTTGTTCCGTGGTTCGAAAGTGACAAACTTAATTGATGTCTATTGATGGTTTGATTATGATATAATGATTTTTTTTTTCTTAATTTTGGTTTTATTGTAGTTTATATTCAATATGTGCATGGTTGATAATGTTTCAATCTTTAGGACAAAAATATTTTTTCATGTTTGATTTATTTATATCGTGGAAGATTTAATTGTTTAGTTGATGTTTATCAATATTTTGAGTTTGGAATATTAAACCTAAACTACGCTATGTATATTTTATGTTTATACATCCGAATTTTACCATTGCCACCACCACTACCATTGTGGCCGTCGCCACGACTCATTGCAAAGTAGATCAATTCTCAACTCTCTTACTTTTGGAAAATCTTTTTTTTTTTTCCTTTTTTTTTTACTTTTGGAATAATCTCGACTCCTCATAGTCGATACTTACTTTTTGAATTTTAATAACAAAATCACCTTTTTCGGTGTGTATCGCACGATCGACTCAAATCGAGACACTGGCTGAGACGGAACGAAGAGAGAACGTAACAGAGAGTCCGCTCACTCGAGCAATGAAATCTATTTTTTGTGTTATACTTCAGACATTTATTTACTGCGGCACTACCTATATTATTTGATTGGAGAGAGAAGATCCTATTCTCCTATATCTCTACCTCGTATAGGTGGCAAAAAAAAAAGTAAAAAAAGAAAATAATAAAATTGCCATCAAAACAAATAATCCCTTCATTTTGAAATATAAGGCGTATAAAGATTTCTTAATTTTTGCGTATAAAGATTTCTTAATTTTTTTACAATATAAGGCGCGCTCAAAAATCAAGATAAATTTTTGTATTTTTTTCTAAATATACTCTCATTGTGTTGAAATTAAGGAAGTGTGGAGTGGTTGTGATTAGAATAAATAAGATTAATTTAGTCAATTTATTCATTAATTAATATCTCTTTATTAATATTTATGCAATAATCTTAAATGTCTTATATTTCAAAATGGAGGGAGTACGTAGATTTCTTAGACATTATCTATATAGTTGCGTAGTTTAACGTGCTTTTTAGTTAACTTCAATGGTAAATGTAGAAGATGGTAGATGTTCTAGTAGAAGATGGTAGATGCTCCTGGTAACATATTTAATTTTAGATTAGATGGTAGATATTAAAAGGCGAGTTTTAGCCATCCATTATTTTTATCCAAACTAATTTTAAATCAAAATGACGAATATATATTATAAATAGTTAAATACTATAGTTAAAATTATATAAAAAACTATATTTCATAACTGCTCTGTAATATATTTACTAGAAATAAAGTGCAATTACAAGTTGGTCAAAAAAATAATACTCTCTATTTGTCGCAATTTTATTTAAGGGTAAGCTCAGCGCAAATCTTTTTAAATTTATTTATTTTTAAATTTATTAGTCATAATGGTTCAAAGTCTAATGTATTAAAAAAAAAAAAAAAAATACTCTCTATTTGTCTGCGATTTTATATAAGCGTAAGTTAGAAACTCATTTTTAATATTTGAGAAGGCCTTCAAATTTGTCGCGATTTTATATAAGCGTAAGTTAGAAACTCATTTTTAATATTTGAGAAGGCCTTCAAATTATTATTAGATGTATTTGTATTCATATCTACACTAAGACCATAAATTATTATTAGATGTATTTGTATGTATTTGTATTCATATTTACACTAAGACCATCAAATTAGTATTAGATGTATTCTTACACTAAGATCAGATGGATTTGTATAATTTGATGTATTCGATCATCGTACAAAGATGGATTTGTATGTATTTGTATTTTAGATGTATTTGTATGTATTTGTATTCATATTTATACTAAGATCATATAAAGATCATACCAAGATGGATTTGTATGTATTTGTATTTTAGATGTATTTGTATTCATATTTATACTAAGATCATACGATTTGTATGTATTTGTATTTTAGATGTATTTGTATTCATATTTACACTAATACAATTAATAACTAAGAAATTATTATTATGTTATTACTTATACAATTAATAACTAAGATTAATATGTTAATACTTTTTATCACATAAATTTTAATCAATACATACTTTTTTTTTTTCTTATTCATTCCCAATCTCAAATATACCTCATTTTTTTTTTCTATTTTTTTATCCCACTTTTTCCGGGGAGAAATTTTCGAAAATTCCCAATCTCAAATATACCTCATTTTTTTTATTTTTTTTCTATTTTTTTATCCCACTTTTTCGGGGGGAGAAATTTTCGAAAATCTTATATCCAATGGCACAAAGAATTATCTCACAACATGAATATTGTTTAATATGGCATCCAAATAAGAGGAGACTTGCATTTGCTTGGCCCTTCACATCAAGTCAAATAAGCAAAAACCATAACGGCATAACCTGAAATGCATCTCAATAATAAAAACCTACTGTCTTCTTTCCTCGCCCTTAAGCTCACATCACATCACATTCACCATCTTGACCTCTTACAAAAGCCCAAACGAAACCAGACTAAAACCACATCTCTAGCTACACCAATTCACAGTAGGAAACCACAATGACGATTGTTTCTCATAAGTTATGGACTCCGAGTAAAAACACTAAATATCAGTCGAGCAATTACATTCATGTCCCCTACCCCGTCAATGAAAAAAGACTCACAAGGCGTACGGTCGCGAGTTTAAAAANAAAAAAAAAGAAAAAGAAAAAAAAAAAGAAAAATACAAGATTACTCTTATAATTTCAAAAGCCAGATCACATTTACCCTTTCCTCGAACAAACTTGACAACCAAACCCCATCCATACAATCTATGTAAATCTTGCAACTGGCTGTGCGTAAGCCTGGCTGTGCGTAAAAGTTGCACTTGCAACTGGCTGTGCGTAAGCCTGCATAAGTGTCAAAAAATACAAGAACGAATCAATTTTATTGGAACAGAGTATAAAGTTTGCATGAAGGCACCATTATAGCAAGAAAAATATTATTACGCCCACGGCCCAATCTTGAAATATTTAAGATACATAATAGCTGTGGCTTGAGGCCCCATATAGTGAAATGCCGAAACTGCATTTGCAAGAAATGAAAAAGGAACTTAAAGTAGAAAATTCCTANATGGAATTACAAATGCAACACTCATAATCATGATACCTGTGTGGGATAAGTCGGAGGATAACTTCCGTACGTGGCAGTTTGGGGCACGGATGTGGCTACTTGTGGGTGGGGGTAACTCGCTCCATAACCACCATAAGCAGCCTAAAAGATAAAACAGTAAAAGAGAGTCATGTCTCAAGACTATTAAGGAAACCTAAAGTAGTTAACAAGAAAAAGACCACTAAACAGTAGATCCAAAGTTACAAAGAACAAGAAACGGCAGAAGAAAAGAAGATGGAATAAAAAAAACTATAAAAAGAAAAACACCTGTTGAGCATAGCCAGGGTTCCACTGTTGTGCTTGAGCCTGTGGAGCTTGAGACCAGGCTTGAGGCTGAACACCATAACCAGCTGCTCCCCACTGATTTTGCATGTTGGGATATGCACCCATCAATGGAGGACCAGGTGTCGGAACAAGTGATTTTCCAAGTTTTGTTATGTCTGAAGCTAAATAATCCTCCGCATGGCGCTTCTTTGACTCTGACGTGCTTTTGTGGTGCAAGAACAATTTTGCATGCCGGTTGTCAGCCTTCTTGATGGTATGAGCATCTCCAAATAGATCCAAGAACTGCAACAGTAATATGGCAAAGGCAAACACTAGTCATAAGCAAATATTCATCTGCCAGATACAGAGCGGAAACTATATTGATGACCTTCAAAATCCAAAACAAATCAAGAATGTAGCAATAAGTGTCAATACCTCCAAGAAGATGCTTGATAGCTCCTCTCTTTCATCAACACTACCAACACTAGGGTTCTCAGGAGTCGAAACGATGAATTTATCAACTAGGGAATCTAAATATTCTATTTGCTTCGGAAGAGGCACGATTGATTCTAAGTGGATCATAGACTGCAATTTTTAAAACTGAATAATGTGAATACAAATGAATACCACAAGAAAAATAAGAAGGTAAAGAAAAAAATAGTTACACATTTTAAATTATATATGAAACGAGCAAGGAAAGTTTCTCGGAGAGGGCAAAAGAAAAATAGAGCAGCAAGCAGATACCTCTAGAAGGGGTTTTGACAATTGGGTATTCTCCACACCTTGAACAAGAATATCCCTTGCCTTGTCAACATTGCGAGAGGCCTATCGATAAAAATTCAAACACACAAGTCGTACAGCTAATAAGAATCAAAATCATAACTTACGACTGAAAGAACACAATGCATTAAAGAAATGAGGATCTTTAGGGGGTGATTGTTTATGGATTGAACTAGTTTTTATTTGATTTGTTTTTTTAACAATAGTAATTTTAAAAAAAGGTAGTATGGTTAGTTGTTAGTGGATATATTAAAATAATATTTAAATAAAATAATTAAAGTTGATTTGATGTAAAGTAGGAGAAAAATAATTGGAAGTGATAGTTAGTTAGAGTTATGTGAGTGGATGAATAGTGAAGTAAAGTTGATGTGATATGTAAAAATGATTGGTTAGTATTATTTAATTATATTGATAATATTTATGATAGTGGGGTTGAGTTAAAGTTGAGTTAAATTTAAGTTTTGATTGGTTTTTTTACTATTCAATTCATATACAATCACCCCCTTAGTCATCTAAAAGATCATAATAACAAATTAATAAGAAGATATAATTAATAATTTCAAGTTCCCTTGATATTTACATTTACAAATATTTAGTGAAAGCCCAACCACATCTTCTGGCAGCCATTATAAAGTAAAAATATTGAAAATGTTAGGAAAAAGAAACTTCCTCCTTGATAAATGAGCCTGGGTAGAACTCATTGCCAAAAACTAGCTAAAAGGGAGAGGGTGCCCAACCCTCACTTATACACAATAACAGCCCAGTAACTAATCGATGTCGGACTAACTCCTAACACTCCTAGTCCCCATTTCAAATTTAAAATCACTTTCAGCATTCCACTACTAAAATTCCTTGGAAATAAGATCTACATATAAACAAAGCATAACAAATATTTACATGAACAAAAGCACAACCAAGATCTGATGAGGAATACAGACCCTACGTACATTTTATACTGCATTCAGAAGATAAGACATACCAAAAATACAAAACGCGAATACTGGCCGAACAACAATGGCAAAGTCTGTGACTGCTCCTTCCCTTTCTCAATTGCAATTGCCTGCTCATATAAGGAACAAGCATCTTCCAAGTTTCCCTGTTAAACAAAGGAAACATACAGTTTCGAGGTAATAGAAACAAAATTTATTAGAACACAAACAAATTACACATGCAATCTTACAAGTCGATTTTCCATGTTTGCATGCTTGATGATTGCTTCAAGATGACCAGGTGAAATTTCACTATGCACAAGTTGATAAGCAGCACGAGCTCCAGTAACATCACCATGCTGCTCCTCAAATCGAGCAGCAAAAAGATGGATCTCTGGTTGCCTCTGTACCAATAGGCCATTATTAAAGGACATGAAAAGGCAGTTCACATTAATTGCCAGTGTTATCGATGGCGGATAGAGGAATTGGTGGCAGACAAAAATCCTGCTATGGCAGCCTGTTGCGCCGCCATAACCACCCTCCTTCACAACTTTAGCATGGCGGTTTGGCACAAATCCGCCACACCACACAGCCATGGTGTTGCCATGGCTGCCATTCAATAACACCGTTAAGTGTCCACAATCTTGCCATTGGATATGAAAATAAAATTAGGAGAGCACAGCAGACAGTTTACTACGACCTAAAATGTGAAAGAGTAAACTAAAATAGAATATGGAATCGAATCATAAAGCTAGCTTAAGTCACGAGACAGGGAAAACTCAAATTAGGACCCTGACCACATCTAAAGAATCTAGCTTATTCCATGTCATATTGGTCCATACAAAACTTGAAATGCATGCCTGGCTGCATTCTTGATAAAATCACACCATTAACTTTGGTGTCTAGGCTAAAACTGCATTTTTCTAAACATATGATCAACTACGCTTGGATCTCCATTGACTTTCACTCAAGCTATTCACAAACAGAATATATTCACCTTTGCTTTAGCATAAAAGATGCACTCACTTGGCACTTTAGAAACATATCATATTAAGTTTGATTGACCAATTTTATGAAAGTCTGAGTCATGATTAATCACAAATTTCCTTACCTTTACGAAGACTTGAGTGGCACGGGTAAGTGCATTTTCGGCAAGCTCCATACTGCTTCTAGCTTCCATGCACAAAACATATCGTATCCAGAATTCAGGATATCTAGCACATGCTATCAGACATCTTTCATATAGCTTAACAACCTGAGCACACGAAGCCACAAATCAGCAATCCAATCTTAATGTTATGCTTATGGAAGAAGTAAACAAAAGTACTAAGAGAAATCCACACAAGAGTACTCCGCTGACGGAAAAGGCCTCCCCTCAAATACGAATGGAGGGACCCTCCTACCTGACAGATACATGGTTAGGAAGTTAAGGACACACCTGCATGCAACATTGGAACTTTAAAACAAACAAATTGACATACACACTTCATGAACCCAGAATTTCAACTCACAAATGAGAGGTTGAAGTACTTAGCCTTATAGAAAGCAAATGGAAGGCCTGTGCTTTAATCCAAGATCAATACGCTGTTTTAAAAGGATGCTTCTCCAACAGTTTAGCCAATAAAGCAAATGACGCAGCAGATAGTACTTAACTGAAAGTCAATGTATAACAAGGGCAACTAAAGATACATGCCAGATATATTGAAATATGTCCAAGAAAAACAAACTCGGTTACCTTATTGAGATCATCTCCACTTTCAATAAAATCAAGATAATTATGCCAATTCTCAAGCTCTGCAACATTGAGGGGCCTCACATGAAAGTAGGGCCTCCTAATAGCTGTCTCAAAACCAATGATCTTAGCATCGACGTCCTTTGCTTTTTTATACAACTCTTCTCTGATAGAAATATACTTCTCCAACTCCTCAGCTTCTTTTAAGCTCGCATTTGTAGTCTTTGATGTACTAGAAGGGACCTCTCCCTCATTTTCTTGGGCTACAGCTTCAGAATCTGCAACAGCTAGGGCAACAGCAGCTTCTTCAGATGTCCGCAACTCAGATAAAGGGCGACTGGCAACCAACTCTTTAAATCTGATAAAGCATAAACACTAACGTTATTATATGAGACATGGCATAAAGAGATGGACAGTAAACATAATTAGCAATATAAAATAGATATATAAAGCATGATGTGATCAGTAAATGGAAGAGAGGGCGTACAAAGAGGGAAAACAAAAACAAAAGCCAACAGTTTAATGATCTGTGATCGTCTTAGTAAGAACAGAAATGCAATTATCATGTGATAAGGTATTCACAGACTAATTCATTTTACCACATCAATTACAAGAACGAAAAAGTTCAAAGTACAAAACTTTACCCTTCAAAATATCGATCCAGCTGCTGGTTAGGTATCTCCAATACCCTTGTATAAATTGTAGCCACATGAGACCAATCTTGTTGAGATATCTCATACTCGATGTATTTGTCCCAAAGTGGGAAGCACAAGTAATCAGTTCCAACATATGCCAATCCTCTTTCGAAAATCCTGAAACATCAGAGGGATAAAATATAATTGCAAAACTCAGTGAAGATGCAGCTGCTCTCTGATCAACCACAAAGGCACAACGATGACTGGTGTTGAGGTGGAAGAAAAATTCACTCAAAGATCACTTAAGAATTGTGAACCAACATATTATCCTGCATTTACCTTCCTCATAGAATCTTACATAGCTCGTCAAGGAGAAGTCACACAGGCCATCTTAGCCTTACTGAGCGACATCTTCATGGCAGCATTTGTGTGTACTGAAGCACCATGGTTCAAAACCGCAAAAATTCATGAAGCATACATTACTAACCCTAAGGAACGTACCAATGAAAATGATCTGCCCATATTACCATCCAAACCTACACACAATCGGCGACTATATATGGTACCCGACTGAGCAAGGATTTGCACATCAGAGTTTTTAAAATCTAATGCGCATTACGCCATTATCTACAAACCATTACACCTTATACACTTGGGTAATCGCTGCAGGGATGGCTGAAAATCATGTTAGAGAGCAACAAAAAAGCACTTCAACACCAACATCTATAATTTGTAATCCATTGAATCCACAAAGGATAAAGAGCAGAGTCATGAATGTTACCCTCTGATAGTCTCAGGATCTCCATAAGTGCTGATGGCGAAAACGCAGTAATGAAGCCACATGTCCACAGAGTAGGTCACTCCTTGAACCGCTTGTTCGTACACCTCCGCAACCTTGTCCACTGAACTGAGGCGTGCCTCGTGATCAGCATACTTCTTCCAGTAACCATAGCATAAAGGAAATTCCGCTAAAAAGGTGTCATAAACTTTTCGAATTTTCAATATGTTGCCCTAGAAGTTGAAGTGTGGAGAAACAAGAGACAAGTTAATTCAAGTGGCCGTCACTGAAGTAGAACAACAAAAATTATAATACATCACATCAAAGAGACAAGCAACAAAATGGTTGAAGCTCCAAGGCTTGAAGTTTGTGTCACTAATAAACAATAATAATACAGGCCAATTTAATCTACTGTTCACACCTCTGACATTCTCTCTGTTTCTTCAATTAATGCAGTCCAGGCATCAAAATCCAAAGAATTAGTCTTTACTATGCTCCATAATCTTTCTTCTTCAGTACTCAGGCCTGACATATAAAATTTTCAGCAAATGAGTTGTTATTCCAATCAGAAACCTGTGAATAAAACATTAGCGGAAAAAGAAAAGCAATTCTCAGGGTAGAATGAGTCTTGTCACATACAAAAAATTCAATATGCCTTGACAAATTGTATCACAATTCACAACTTAACCAAAAAAACAGTTATTACTTCCATTTTTCCTGGTAGACAAAAACTTATGTAAAGCATCATAATTAATACCCGAACCATCTACAGTCTGATGCAAAGCAGCAGATCCAATACCATCGGCTGAAGCAACACCATTTTCTGTAATACCTTCATTTGCTCCAACCTCTGTTTCACTAACACCATTAACATTCAGCGAGGACCCATAAGCAGTAACCTGAGTGTCCACAGAAGAGTCACCATGGCCAGCAAAACTTTTGTTAGCATCATATGCCGTTACAACATGGTTTTCTTGCTGGGTCATATTTTCGGGGGCATCGAGAGCAGGAGCGGAACCAGCAATGTTGTCCTTAGCTGAAACAATGGACCCACCAGCATCAGAAGCAACAAGTGCACTTGCATCATTATGTAAAGCAGATATTTGTGTCATAGCGGTCTCACTGTCTCCCATAACACGAACAGGATGCTTATAAGGGACTGCATGAATTAAGAGAAGCTACAGTCAAGAGAATTCATCGTCCAGCATAAAACTTTAATCACCGCTTGTAGACTAAATGTCTGACCTTAACCAGGCAAATGAATAGTTATCTGTCGGCATACAAACAACTATATTTACCGTATTAATAACGTCTATACATAGTTTTCTAATAAGGAATCGCTTATATCTACTTCAAATCTCTAATATCTGATAAATGATGAGAAAGGGCAAACGAATCAAATAATAAGAAGATAAAATTCACCACCCTTAAACTATTATTGTGGATAGATACCGTACTTCCACAAGAATCAATGTGAACTACAAGTTTAACATTATCCCAGTCTAGATAAGCAAACACGTTTTAATTATGCTCCCATCTAGCAAGATTGTGTTTGATAACAAACCCTCAAAAGGCTGCACATAAGTTAAACTCAGTAACTAGCAATATCACAGCAAGTGCTATGAGACAAATGCAAGCAATACTTACAAACATTTTACATAATCAGGATAACCCGCATTAAAACCAAGACCAACATAATCACCACAACAAAAACTCACAGGCCAAAACATCGAGCTCCATCAGTACATAGTTAAATCACAAAAATACACCGACAGCCATCTGCATAAAGCGCCGGAATTGATGCAATTATGGGATGAAATTAACATTGATTAAAGGAGAGTATCGCATGCCTGAAATCAGAGAGTAGACGGCGAACAACCGGCGGAAGTTTTCGGATGAAAACTGTGATTAATCTCGCTCACTGCGTAGAGGCTTTCGTCTTATGAGGGTTTATTTGCCGGCGAGAGATGCGAAGGGATGACTGATGAGAAAGGGGGCAATTTTTCAGTTAGACACTGTTTGGTTCACGAGAGGGAAAGGGAGGGGAAGGATTTTAATGGAAGGGAGGAGAGGGGAGGGGAAGTAATGTAAAATGAATTTACCTTGTTTGGAAGGATTTTATATGAGGGGAGGGGAAGGAAAATAGTAAACCTTGTTTGGTTTAAAATGTAAAGGGAGGGAAAATAAAATTATATAGATAAATATACCCTTCTTTATTATGTAACACTATGTTTGTACATAATTCAATTGACCACTCTTGCCAATAATGATTTACTGCCACAAATTGAGTCTTGTTAATAACCAATCATCAAATAAATAAGGATAAAAAATGATGCCATATTTTATTATAAGATTCAAATCAAACAATTTTTCTTTGCATCCTTATCAAAAATCAATGTAACATGCAAATCACATTTCATCATATAAAGTTTATAATACATAAGTACAAAATACCATACATAAACATAGCAAAAATATAATAAAATCCTACAAACATCCATAATGCCTAAAGTGCAGCAAAATACACAAAAGTTATTTTACCATAGTAGTTCTACCAAAACATACAAAGTGATAGCTTCTTTGCACCATAATGACAACTTCAACTTCAAATAAATTATCTTAAGTTTTAAATTTCCAAAACATGTGAAACCACATAACAACATCATTTTGCTCACAATGGTGGATTGGAGGGGCCAAACATCATTCTCATGATAACATCCTCACGAGCTTTGGGTGGACATTGAACAACACATCGAAGCTTGTCGATGTCACTCATAAGAAAACAATAGATGTCCGTCAATAAGTTATTGTCAAACCCGCATTCCTTCGCCAGAAATTGGGGGAACTTTATGGCAGTACATGTCTCTGAATAGCTCATTTCCTTCTCGTAGTGCATAGCGACATTATCTATTGCTCCTTTAATAATCTCAAACTCGGACGCTTTATCCTTCATTGCATCTTCCTTTTTTCTTTTCTTACTAGTTGCTCCACTGTTTGCTCCCATAGAAAGATGTTGAGTAGAGAAACTGAAGATATCATTATCCACGTCAATAGTATCACCAATATTCTCCAAGGTAACTTCATTTTGAGATACAAGGTTGTCAACCTCATCGATTGTTGTGGTAAATAGATTCTCAGTAGATGATCCTCGCCTCTTTCTCATCTCAAATGCTGTCTCCGCATCCTCACCAGTTGCCCTATCATTTCCATATAAAAGCACTATTTTCTCATAATTTGGAAATGGGATAAATCTCAATGTTGCTGCCTTTGGTTTTGCCTGTGAGTGAAATGCCATAAGAATATGTTATAGAATTAAATAACAAGCTAACAAACATGATAATAAGAATGACATAAATGAAACATTATTTATTACAACCTTAATCAAAGCTTTCCATACTTGTGGCTCAGCATCCCATAGTTTTGTAGTTGGATTCCAAGCAAACCCGCTCATGCCACTACTAAAAATATCATAGACTTCTGAAAAAATTTTCTTCAAAGTTTTCCATCTATTTTTCACTTTCTCCTTATCAATCTTTTTGTCAAATAAGGCACTAAGCTCTTTCACAATGTTCTCATATGCAGTACTAGTGAAAGTACCATTAACTTTATTACCACAATTATGTTCATTAACAAAAGCATCCACAAGAGCATCATCCATACTTCTTGTCCAAGTTAAGTTCTCTTTCCCAGAGGTAGTTGGACCTGAAGACTTCCTGGGACCCATTCTACAAAGTTTAAAACAAATGAGACATGCATATTATAAGTTAAACGAAAAACTTAGATGACAACAATTACAACCTCAAAAGATAACAATTCATAACTCCAAACATCTCATATAAATAAAATTAATCAAGTTCAAATACACAATAACAAAGACAATGTATTCAAGTGAAACAACAAAACAAAACCACTGAAATTGTGCAAACCATATATTATGAATGATCACGTTCATAATCTAACCACATCTCATGTGCTATACAATCCCTTATAAACTCTCCCCGAGCAACCTCTTCACTATCAGATCCAAGAACATAATTATTCTCTTCAATTGGATCTTGTCTTGCAAGTTCATCATCTACCTCAGCAATAAGTTCTTCATTAGGATCCACACTCATTAGATAATTATGAAGAATGCAACATGCAACAATAATGAGTTTTTGCGCTTTAACTCCAAAATTAGGTTCTGCACCCGAAGATAATATTTTGAAACGCTTTTTCAGTACACCAAAGGCTCTTTCAATTGCATTACGTAAGGATGCATGCCGAAGATTGAACAATTCCTTAAAAGTTCGTGGTGGGTTTTTTGCCGAGTATTCTTTCAAATGATAGCGAACTCCTCTATAAGGTGTAATCAATCCACTCGTTAATATGAAACCAGCATCCACAAGATAATATTTTCCTATAATAATAACAAAATTTACAATTCTTAAGATGAGAAATTGTTGTGTCATAATAGATAAAGTTATAGGAAATACTTTTTGAGATTTCAACTCCAATTACCTTCAGGGATTTTTAGTCTATCTTCTCTTCTTAATGCATTTTTTATAATTCTTGAATCAGAGGCAGTGCCTTCCCATCCAGGAAGCACATATGTGAATTTTAAATCGAATGTACAAGCAGCTAACACATTTTGTGTTGGAAGTTCCTTTCTCCCACGATAACGAGGAGCATCTAATTGAGATACCTTTGCACGTATATGAGTTCCATCAATAGCACCAACACAATCCTGACATTTTATATTAGTATTAATTAATATAAAAAAAAAGTTTACTAAGCTTATTCATTAATGACAAATAATTACCTTAAAATAAGGGTAGAACCTACTACTGTTATGAATTTCGGCTGGCACGGTTGAACCATCAGGTTGTACAAGTAGTTTATCTTCACACTCAATTATAGCCCTCAATACTTGATGGAAATGTCGACTAATCGTTTCACCAGAACGTCGAAACCAAAAATTCACCTCACGATTTTTTGCTTTATGCGTTAATATATATAATGTTTTGGCAACTTGTTCTTCCACGCTTGACCATCGTGTAGGTTTTAGCCCACCCTCTCTTTCTAACATATCATATAAGCTCATGAAAGCTTTTGGACTCATTCTAGTAATATTCTTGCTATCTTTATTAGTAGTAATCCTGTAAAGTATTTCTTGGCGCGTTTTTTCTCTCTTTGAACTCATGCTATAAGTAATCTTTTTTTTAGAAGGTGCCTTAATGCAACAATAAAAGGCAATTATGCATATTAGGTGGGCCACAACTCTCCGGCGAGCATCGTACCATCTTTCTTCAAAGTTATCCATACTTAATGCAACCACATAGAGAAAAAGTTAGCTTTAAAAAAGTACTTGTTTTTTAAACACATACTAGAACAACATAAAACAAAAATAATGACCAAAAGACAGGATGTTATATTCTGTATATAAGTCTTATGCAACACCAAATCAAGACATGTAAAATAGCATTGGTTACTGAAAGATAAAATCAAAGGAAACAAACACTCAGCTCAAGTTTTTTTGTAGTCCAAACTGAGTGCAAAATAGAGTAATCCACACTTAAGGGAGCAGAAACAACTCCATGAGCAATACACACTTTCACTCCCTCGCAGTTGATATCATCACTGATTTTACACATTTAAAAATAGGCACACTCTTCTAAATTAATTTGGTTATAATGTGGCAGATTTATCATTCAAAGGATCAGTGTAGTAATGCATCATGTCTCCTTTAAAACTTAGATGTAAAATTAAAATTAAAAAATATTAAAACTATTAGAACCATAACTACTTGAAGGGGCTGGCNTTTAATCAAAATTCACTTATAACATTCATTCATATTTTGTATCTTTTCTTTTATTATTTCACCAAAAAACCACAAAGTACAACCTGTTCTTATTCATGTCACTATGCATATACTCAAATTGATGATAAATTTCTATCTCCATAATTGAATCTCTATCATAACAAAGAGGAAGTAGCCAAACACACATTGAGGCACATACATACCAGCTCCAAGTGTAAAAAAAAAATTAATGATAAAACACCACTACATCTAGAATAAAGAACCAAGAATGAAGAATTTTACCAAAATTTTTTGTTGCTGCAAGGTCCCTTCTCGCCGTTCGCAGGAGTGTCTTGGCTGCTAGAACTTTGTCTTGTAAAATGTGAAAATAGGGTTTGGGTATAATTTATAGAAGGTAATTTTGTAATTATCATGAGTTGGAAAGGGCATGCTAGTATAATCAGTCATAACTTTTTCCTTCCCCTCCAAATTCCCCCAAAATTGGAGGGGAGCATTTTTTCCACCGTACATGGGATTTGGAAGGAAAATCACAATCCCCTCCCCTATGAAAAAATGAACCAAACAAAAGAAAATTGAATAATTCCCTCACCTCCCTTCCCCTCCCCTCCATTCCCTCCGAACCAAACACTATGTTAGGGTTTTTATATTTGGCAGTGGAAGGCGCTCATGCGTAATAGCACCAAAGGTATGTGTATTTGATGTGCACATGTACATATATTTAAATTACTATAATTTATAAGTTACGTGTATGTGTATGATTGTAAAATTATAAATTAAATAATAATATCATATTTTAAAATTTTAAAAATAAAATTATTTTGTATTTTAGGAAATAAAAAGATATTAAAGAAATGTGCACCATTTAAAACGGGACAAGTCAAATAAATCGTGTAACTGAAAGTTACATATTTTTATTCAATGGTCGACAAATTTTTATTAAATGAACACCTATTTTTATTAAATGAACTACTATTATTATTAATTGTTGGATGAATAAAATTTATTGAAGGTTGCCAGCAATTATATATATATATATATATATAGATGTTATTGAGTCAAAATTAAGTGGATTTTATAATTACACTTTTCTTATATTTGATTTTTTAGATATCTCTCTATTTTTTTTATTAATAATCAAAGTGAAGAATAAGGATAAATTGGATTCTTTCACTGTACTTATTGAGTTTTTTTATTGTTGGTAATGAAGCGGGCTGACCTGTCATACTATATGAATAAAAATGCATACTTATAATATCAAATGTTATATTTTTGTTTCTAATATTTTTTAAACTATGCATATGTGTAAAAATAAAACTACT